GGTTCGTAGCTCGATTCGCAACCACTACGCTACCAGAGCTACTTAATAACAAATTATAAGAATAAATTAAAATAGAATTTCATTTTCCTTTTGATGGCACTTAACAACAACAGTTGTCAATTCTGATTCCTGTAGACCCTAGTATGCTGAGAACTGCTGCACAGCATCTTTAAAGGTACTATGTTTCAGAAACGGACTGCCAGAGGCTCCGTAGGAAAAGCACTGGACTGTGAACCACAGGGTCAGTGGTCTGAGCTCACCAGCTGCTCTGAGGAGAGTGAGGTTTTCTGCTACAGCAAATATTTACAGTCTCTGAAACACTGTACGCACTTAACAACATGGTAAACGCTAAATGAATATTTCTCACTACAAAAATCTTCAAAGGAATCAACAGGTGTAACCACTAATTTATTGATGCAATCAAACAAAATCTCCAGTAAAACTAAGCTACTCTAAGAGAAAGTCTACAGAGACTATTTGAATTTCTGTACGTAGGTTTGTATACCTATGAAAACAATTAGTAGTAGTTTCAAAACAAAATAACGTCAAGTTAACTAACTCATTTCCTAAGTCAACTGAGTGTAGTGGTCCACATAATTTTCAAAGTTTTATATCTAGCCATGGAATGTAGCGTATTTTAAAAGCATTCTTGAATGTTGTTTGAGTTCAGAAAGTTCAAAATATTAATACTCTACTGTGAGTGCACTCAGGAGGAGTTAGAGAGCTATTTGGCTTCTGTTGGTCTCTTCCTCATTCTATCATCAACATGAAATCAGAGTTTAGCACAGTGGCACAACTCACTGGCCAAGAAGCAACACTACCTTTCTTTCTAAGCCTTTTAGTGTGAAGAAAAGAAATCCTAAGGATTTCGGATTACTGGGTTTTTGTTTTCCATGAGTTCAATATGAAGGGAAGAATAACTTTGTACCAACGACACAATTAAGAGAAAAAGCACACAGGAGAACGAAAGGAGACACACTATTCTAAGTCACCATATTCTAAGATTTAATTAAAGCAACAGTGAGCAGAAGAGGAAGGTATTCTGTGGCAAATTTCTACCTCTTTGGTTCACATTCTGGCTCTAGGACTGTTGTAACTTTGGATATAACAATAATTTATGTCTAAGTTTCTTTCTCTTCTAATTAAGGAAAACACCACTTACCATATAGATATATGATAAAATAATACACACGAATGGACTTTCAGCTCTTCAGAAGAAAGCTACGAATCTTTAAGTATGAACCTGAAAAGCTAATTAAAAATAAGATGACCATGTCAAAATAAAGTCTGAAACAGTGGCCTATATGGTGTTTAAGACTTACAGTATCAGCTACAATTTTACAGAAGACAACAGAATTCAAACCAACGTTGGGTTTATAGCACAAAGCAAATGAATTAACTTGAGCAAGTAAGATTATTAGTATATTAACATAGTGAATATAGGTTATTCAGCATCACACTGATTTAAACTAAAAACAAGTGACGTAAAATTATGATACTCTCTTGTTTATCATTTTAAATGTATTTGGAATTGAAACTAGTTGTTCAAAAGACATGTAATCACTGAATGCTAACAGCTGTTTGGTATTAAAAGTAAAATTAATAGGTGGTGGTTGTTGTTAAGTGCCATTGAGTCGATTCTGACCCATAGTGACCCTGTATAGGATTTCCAAGGAGCAACTGGTGAGCCTGAACCACTGACCTTGCAGTTCAAACAATTTTGTAGTCTGATGCATTATGAGAAGTATAAATATATACTGAGCACTACAAATATAAACAAGTGTTAGAATCCATATGCTTGGCCTACAACTAGATTGTAAACTATGTCCAAACAGTTGAGAAGAAAAACTAAATTAACTTAGTATAAATGAAAAATGACAAAAGTTCTATAAGAGTAGAAACTAAATAAGCCAGTGAAACCAGAAAAAGAAGAGAGTTGGGGAAGCTTTCTTAGCATTTTTAGTATTGCAGTTAACACTATAGTAACTTACTTTGTTTTAGAAGTGCGTATCACATGATGGAAAATTTATAGAAATCTCCAGAGGGTAGCAGGGTCAATACTCACTTCATTTTCTAGATGAAAATACTGAGGTTTCAAGAAATTCAGTAACTCACCTGAGATCACAAACAGGCTGAGAGGTGGCAGTCAGAGTGAGACTCTCATGAGTTTGCCAACTTTGTCCAGCGCTCACCGCTATTACACTCAATTCTATATGATCAATACACTAAAGTGAAACCTCAGAGAAGAGATTTCAATAATCAAATGCAGTGTTTCCCTAGCCAATCTGATAAAAACAAACAAACAAACACAACTTTCCAGGGGCATGCACTAGGTAAAAACCGAGAATCTCAGGTGCCACTATAGACCTACTGAATCATAATCTCCAAGAGAAAGGTTTTGTATTTTCAACAAGAGTTCCAATAGGTACTTCTCATGATAAGTAAATTTGGAAAATACTGTTTGGTACTGATAAGTGTCCAATACAGTAGGCGTATTACAGCACCTTCTGGTCATTTAAAATGATTAAAACAATAAAATAAAAAATTCAGTTCTCAAAGTCGCACAAGGTACATCTTAACTGCCCAATGACCTAAGGTGGCAGCTAGGACCATGTTGGATAGCATTATCAGGGCAGAAATTTCTGCAATGCTGACTCTAGACCACCTCGTCAATGGTGACCACAAGGAAACTGAGGCACAGAACCTTGTCTAACACGTGCCATGGAGCTAGTTAGTGGCAGAGTTGCAACTCTCACCGATTCTGCCAGTGACCCTCTTCCTTGCCTTGTCCTTCCTCACATTCTGGGTTTATAAAACGAGACTGTTTTTTCCTTTCAGGAAAGTAAGAAGAGACAGTCAAAATTTGTGGGAAGAAAGTTTAGTCAAGAATCATGATTAGATCTAAAACAACCTGCAATCTTTGTATAAAATCAAAAGTAGCGTTGGATACCTAAGAATACCCTAGTGTTAGGAAGCATAACTTGTTTTAGGTACCTTAAGTCCTTACTCTTCTACAGGTCTGGTGTTTTCAATCTCTTAGACGTGAAACCCTGAAGCCAATTATACCTCTTGACTAGCTTGTCTTAAAAATGAATAAGTGAAAGAATAAGGCTTCTAGTACTAGCAAGCATCGTACACTGTGAAGAAGAGTAACTTTCCTAGGAACATGGTCACTCGGACTCCTCAACACCTTTGGCTTTTAGTATTGCAGTGCTTTAGTATTTAGTATATTAATAACTTTCCCCCTACAAACAAGTTTCTTTTGACCATTATAATGTTGTTTGAAATAAAATGGTTTTGTTCTCATTTCCAATGTAACTTAGGAACTAGAGCCAGCTCAACATCCAGGAACGCTTAGATACTTATCAGACCAACATATAACCAACCACAAAAAATTTTTCAGCAGTGCCTTCTTTAAAAATAAAACCAGTTGTTCCTGTCTAGTATGTTTAGAATGCATATGTCTTCAAAGTCAGTCAACTTAAGTCATGACAGTTCATGTTTAAAGCAAGGAAAACAACTCCTCATTAATTAAAACTTTAAAGACACAATTATACTGTTCAATTTTTTTCCACTACCTAGTTCTCAATTTCATGTTAAATTTTAGTGATTTAGAGGAAATACTGCACTTCAAAGCTCATATGAAATAAAAAATTGGGTGGTAAAAAAAGATAGCCTTACATGATACTTAGGATGAGACACTCATTAGATTAATTTGGGAGGTGCCCAGAAGCCTTGAATATGGGGTTCTGTATAAATAGAAGCTACTTATTATTCAGACAAAGGATGTGGTTCAAAAAAAGACAACTACTTTCTTCCTAAACACTATGGTGTTGAGATAAACAACAACAAAAAATACAGTCTAAGCACACAAGAGCAAAGGAACAATCTTTACTCTTTGTAAGTTACATGGAAGGGGAAGACTAGGAAATGTCCATGTGCTAACCTTTTAAACACAGAAGCCCAGAGCTCAAACTGAAGCAGGAATCTATCCTCTAGCTTTGAGACAGAATACATTACTTTTACATTTTATCTGTTAAGTCTTAACTCCCACTCTGCCATATTGGGAAAAGAAAACATTTGCCCCAAAATTCTTAGGCTACCAAAACTACTTTTGGAGGTAGCATAGCTCACCAAATGAAAGAGCATTAGAAAATAGTTTAAAATTAAACCACTGGGAAATGGAATTATCGTAACTACCAGGGGATACATACTGGTCAAACTATTGAAGGGAAGGCTGAAAATACTGTAAACTCTGTTGGAATGGACCTGACAGCAATGGGTGGATGCAACCAAGTATTAAGTGTTGCACAAACCCCAGACTTCATAAAATTAAAAATAAATAAATAAATAAAAACTTGTGGAGGAGGGGGCCTGGAAAGACAGGCCAGTTTGCAAGGCCTTGAACTCACAGGTGCAGGTAGATCATCCCTCTAGCAGGAGATGCTGATACAACTTCAGTACAATCTCCAGAGACAGTGTTAGGTTTCCTCAGGGATAGTGGCTTAGGCAACAAGCAAATGGACTTTGAGACAGAACCAGAGAGCTAATGCAGAAATTTCTAACTTGGTTTCCCAAGTTAGAAAAAGAGCTACACTAGGGAGCGAAAACGGCCAGGGAATCCTCAGGTGGTGGTACTTCCATCACCCTGGGACAGGTAAGCCAGGACGCTTGAAAAGGCGCCCGCAAGGTTTTTTGGCCGGCCCTCACTTGTCTCTCACACCCTCCTTCCCCCCACTTCCCTGCCGATCTTTCCTGGCACACAGATATAGGCCAACGAGCAGGAGGTGGGTGGGTGAGGAGGATGTGAGAGAAAATTTGAGAAGTGAAAAAAAAAAAAAAAAAAAAAATGGAGCAACTTAACAAGGGCATGAATGAGACTGAAGACTCTAATAAGGAAAGGGTACCAACAGCAACTACTCAAATGCGAAACGGGCTTTCCTGGCCAGCAGTGGACGCTCAGGGATTCGAGGGGTTTAAGCAGAGATCAGGCTACCTACCACTTGTCAAAGAGGCTGCAGAGGGGACGGCTGCTGTGGGTGACCTCTACTGTCTCTTCCGACTCTGAAATGTCAGGATTCTTATTTCACAAAAGAGAACGCAATGGTCATAGAAGCCCCTTCCCGACTTAGAACCCGTGTAGCCCAGCGGCTCAGGCGGCGGCGTCCCTAACACCACTCCCACCCACACGTGCCCACCCCGCCCCCTTTCAATAGTGCCACCTCCACGTGCGAAAAGCCCCGCCGCACTGACCCCAAAGCCGACAGGCACCTTCCCCCGCTAAGGACAAGCGCTCTGCCCCTCAGAGAGAAGTGAGGACGCCACCGTCCCACCCTGAGCGGCCAAAAAAGGGAAAAGTCCCCCAGTCAGCTTCCCCCCACCCCACTCAGAGTAGCAGGGAAGGCGGGACACAGAGAAAAACTTTCTAAAAAAGATTTTCCCCAAAGACCTTAGGGGTTTGAGAGAACCCCAGCGAGGCCGGGCCCGAGTGGCTGGGAGGGGGGGAGGGGAGCCCCTGTATCGTTTAACGGCCGGGAGGGGGAGGGGGAGCTCCGGAGATTGAGGGGGCGTGGGATGGAGAAGCAGGCTTGGGAGCTGAGGTCAGAGACCTACAGGCATCCCCCCCCAACCTGCCACACAAAGCAGCTGCCGCGCTCCGCTCTCACCAGATCCTTTGTGTTTTCCATCAGGGCCTCATGGGTAGGGGTTGTCCGTGCTCCCCGGGCCCGCGGCGCCCCCTCCCCGCGCTCGGGGACAGGCGCCTCTACCCGGGACTGCAGCGACTACAGGGGCCCCCGGTTGGGCCCAGACCGGTGGCGGCGGCGGCAGCCCCCGGATTTCCCCCCTTTAACTCGGGTGGCCCCAGGATATCAACAACATTAGCATAGTCCTCCCTCCCAGCGCGCCTGCGCCGTGACCCGCGCCCCGATTGGCCCACTTCCCTACATACCCTCCTTTCTCTCTTCCAGCGTGGGACCCTCGGCAGGCTCCGTACGCTAAGGGCCGTACCAAGACGAAGGGGTGAAAAAGGAAATCTAGGCTTTGGTTAAGCTAAGTGCTTAAAAAGTCAGGAGAAAGAATCAAAGTCTCATTCAACCGTCCCAGTTCATGCTCTGGCTATCTTGTATTCCTTTTAATGTGCTGCAGCTGCAAAGTTGTATTGGAAAAAATTTCCTTTCCTGTCACGGCGCTTCCCCCTACACCCGGAAGATTGGCCCTCCCGGAGGAACTCCCACAGGGGAGGGGCACGCGAGGGGAGTGGGCGTTACGTAGGGAGGGAGTGTTAAGTCACGTGCTAACAGGCTGCGCACGCTCTTTTCGGCATTCCCCTGGGCTTCAGCGGCGGCGGAAAGCGAGACGTCCTGGCGCACGCGCAGTCGGGTTCCACGTGAGCGCCTACGTTTCTTCTCAAAACCAACGATGCCGCCGGAGCGAAGGAACCGAATGAAATCGAACCGGAGTACCAGAGGGAAGCCACACCAGAAGACTCCAATGATGCCAAAACAGAGACTCGGAGCAAGGCCGGCCGGCCCGGCCCCAAAGGGTGCCCCTTCATCCCAGCGGAAACCGCCGGCCCGGCCAGGCGCGGCGACCGCTACAATCGCAGTCGCAATAGAGGAGGAGAGGCGGCTCCGGCTGCAGAACCGTCTTGCGTTGGAGGAGGACAAACCGGACGTAGAACGGTGCCTGGAGGAGCTGGTGTTCGGCGACGCCGAGGATGATGGGGATGCGCTGCTGCGACGTCTTCGGGGCCCGCGGGTGAGGGAGGCCGCGGCGAGAGGTCCGGGCGCGCTCGGGCGGGGCGCGCGGAGGGCGGTGAAGCTCCGGGGGCGGAGCCTGGGCGACCTGAGGCGGCGGGAGTGCTCAGGTGGGCGGGAGCCGGAGAACGTGGGCGCCGGGGGGGAGCCTGTGTGCGTACCCCGCTTCCGGGATTTGAGCTGAGCCCCCCGAGGCCCGAGACCGCGCCTTTCTCGGCCCCAGTGGAAGCAGCTGACCTGGGTGTCCAGCAGGCGCTCAACGTACACCTTGTATAGGGTTTCCGAGGAGCGGCTGGTGGGTTTGAACCTCTGACCTTTAGATTAGCACTCCAGTGCTTGTCGTTAAGCATTCTTCTAGGACTCTAACATAGTTCTTAGCATCGTTCAAAAATCTCTGGTGGCACAGTGTTTAAGCGTTTGACTGTTAATGAGAATGTCGCCAGTTGGTACCCACCTGTCATTTCCGGGGAGTCAGATGAGGCTTTCAGCTCTGGTGAAGCTTTACAGCCTTGGGCCCGGCATGAGAGAGAGGTCTGCTCTGCTCGACAGCGTCCCTGTGAATGGGAAACGGTTTAACTCAGCTCTTCTTAAAACCCATTGTATTCTTGAATTTGGTCTTTTGATATACCGATTATTAATATGGATTGCCAGTTCCACTGTGGAACCAGAATTCCCAAGTCTGGGAATCTGTATTTTAACCCTCCTAGGATTCGTGGTGTGGTGCTTTAGGGTAACGCACTGGACTGCAAAGTTGGTTTGAACCATAAGGTTCAAGCTCACCAGCCACTCCTCGTTATGAGTTCGAGCCAACTCAATGGCACCTAACAACAACAACAAGGTGATTATTTGGTGCTGTAGGATGAGCATTGGACTGCTTTCCACAAGGTTGGTGGTTTAAACTCACCAAGCGCTCCTTGGAAACCATATACAGGGTGGGTATGAGACAAAAACAACTTGATGACACTTAACAACAACAGGTGTTGGAGTCCTGTTGTGGTGCTGTAGGATAACTGCAAGGTTAGCAGTTCAAACCCACCAGGTGTTCCTTGGAAACCCTGTGCAGGGTCGCTATGAGTCCAAACCAACTCCAGAACTGAACAACAGGTAATTACTATGCACACCACCTTCTGAGAATCACAGTGGCAGCTTTGTGTGATTAATTGTACAATACTTAGAATAAAAAGGCCTTTTATTCTATACCTACTGTTTCTCTTCAGCCATTGTTCTAGGTATTGGGGGAGACACTGCAACAGGCAACACTGTCAAAAAATCCCTGCCTTCTTAATGTTCCACTAGCAGAGAAGGTAAAAGAGAAATAAGTAAAATTCAAGTATGATAGTTACTGAAGATTAAAATAATAAAACATTTAAGGAAAGGGGGCTGATTGCTGGCAGGAGGCCTGTGAAGTTTTAGATAGGGCAACCAAGGAAAACTACTGAGAAATTGTTGGGTAGGCATATATTAGATGAATGCTCATTCAAGAAGTATCAACTGCTTAGACCTCTGATGGCGCTTCCAAAGCAGCTGCTGAAATCTAATAAGGAGACAGAGAATTAGTGACCTTTCTATAGACAGGAAAAAGCACTCTAAGGAGCCCTGGTGTGGCGCTGCGGGTTAATGCATCACACTGCAAAGTCGTTTGAACGGCAAGGTCTGTGGTTCAAGCTCAGCAGCTGCTCCTTGGAAACTCTATACAGGGTCGCTATGGGTCAGAATCGACTCGACGGCACTTAACAACAGTCCAGTTACACAATATCTGATTTGGAGGAAGTTCAGGCACATGTCAGGGGGTTATTCAGTAAGTTAGATTTGGGTCAAAAAGGTAAGAATACGTGATGGTGGTGGTGGTTGTGTGCTTTGGAGTTGGTTCCAACTCATAGCTATCCTGAATAGGGTTCCCAAGCCTGTAAATCTTTATAGGAGCAGAAAATTTCATCTTTCTCCTAGTAGTTTCGAACTGCTGACCTTGAGGTTAGCAGCCCGACTTGTAACCACTATGCCTAATGCTGGCCTCTCTCTGGTACTACTGTCATGTCTGTAGTTGGAATTTTTCCTGCTTGTCATCTGCAAATTACCTTTTTGTTGCTTCAGTCTTGGATCTTTTTCTTTTCACTGTATTGACTTTATCTCCGTAACTTCCATCTTGCCTTTCTGCCATTTACTGGACTCTTGGTTTTCTGCTTCTGCCTCTGGCACTTGCTGTGATGATCTGTCTGACTACTTTGTCAGAGGGCCTCAAACAAAGCATTCTACAAGCCATCTTACTACAAGGTGTCTCTGTGTGTGTGTTGACCATCATGGGATGTGAAAAAACTCAGTGCTTCTGGATGTTTTGTCTTCTTCAGATTCAAGTACATGAGGAGTCTGATGACTCGGAATTGGAGAACGAAGCAAAAGATAATTTCCCCCCTCAAAAGAGACCAGTTTGGGTGGATGAAGAAGATGAAATTGAGGAAATGTAAGTATGATTATGTGAAGATTTTTAAAAAAATACAAGAAATACAAATACAAAGAAATGATAAGTATTGTTGTTAGGAGGTGCCATCAAGTCTGTTTTGAGTCCTAGTGACCCTTTTTTTTTTTTTTTTGCACAGCTGAGCTAACCACCCCACCACCTTGTACTGTGCCTTTCTCACAGTTGTTATGTTTGAGCCCATTGTGGCTGCCACTCTCAGTCCTCACTGACCCTCCACTTTACCAAGCAGGATGTCCTTTTCAAGAGACTGGTCCCTCCCAACAACAGTCCACAGTACGAGAGATGAAGTCTTGCCATCCTCACTTCTAAGGAACATTCTGACTACTGCTTCTAGAAGTACTCTTTGTTTGTTCTGGCAGTCCATGGTACTTTCAATATTCTTTGCCAATACCATAATTCAGATGCATTGATTTTTCTCTAGTCTTTATTCTTTGTACAATTTTCACATGCTTATGTATACCTTGGGTGAGGTGCTCCTTACTCTTCAAAATGACATCTTTGCTCCTTAACACTTTAAAGAGGTCTTGTGCAGCAGATAGTGTCTGCTGTTTAATTTCTTGACTGCAACTTCCATGAGTGTTGTTTGTGGATCCACGCAAAATGAAGTCTTTGACAACTTGAATCTTCTCTCTATTTATCATGATATTATTTATTGGTCCAGTCATAAGGATTTTTTGTTTTCTTTACGTTGAGGTACAACCCATCCTGAAGGCTACCGTCTTTGATCTTCATCAGTTAGTAGGTATTTCAAATCTTTTTCAGTTTTGGCAAGCAAGATGTGTTATTTGCATTTCGCAGTTTGTGAATGAGTCATTCTCTGATTCTGTTGCCACATTCTTATATTCCGGCTTCTCAGATTATATACTCATATTCAGATTGAATAAGTATGGTGAAAGGATGCAACCCTGGTACACACCTTTCCTGTTTTTAAGCCATTCTGTGTCCCCTTAGCCTGTTCTAATAACTGCCTTTGGTCTGTGTACAGATTACTCTGTACTTTTTTACCCATTCTTTGCAGTGTTCTCTATGGTGTTATGATTCACACAGTCGATTACCTGTGCATAGTCAATAAAGCACAGCCAAACATATTTTTGGTTTTGTTTTCAGCCCAGATCCAAGGTAATGATATACCTAGCTCCACGTCCTCTTCTGAACATAACTTGAAATTCTGGCAATGCCCTGTCAGTGTACTGCTGCAACTGTTCTTTAGTAAACTTAAGCAAAATTTTACTTGCATGTAATAATTCCTTCATTCTGTCTAGTCACCTTTCTTTGTAATGGGCACAGATGTGGATTTTTTCTAATCAGTTGGCCAAGTAGCTATATTCCAGGTTTCTTGGCACAGACAAGTGAATGCTTGCAGTACTGCATCAGTTTGCTGAAACATTTCTGTTGTTTTTAAAAAATTTCCAATGCCTTCAGTATAGCTTGTACTATATCTTTTAAGACTATAGGTTCCTGATCATAGAGTATCTCTTGAAATGGTTGAACATCCACTAATTCTGTTTGGTAAGGTGACTGTATTCCTTTCATCTTATGTTTTCTGCAACATTAAATATTTTGCTTTTTGTTTATAAGTGCCATCTAGTCAATTCCGACTCATAATGACCCTGTATTGGGTTTCCAAGTAGCAGCTGATGGGTTTGAACCACTGACTTTGTAGTTAGCAGTCCAGTACTTATCCAGCAGCGCCATACCAGGACTCATGTTGTTGTTAAGTGCCATCGAGTCGATTCCGAGCCATAGCGACCCTGTATAGGGCTTCCAAGGAGCAGCTGGTGAGCTTGAACTGCCAACCTTGCAGTTCGAACGACTTTGCAGTCTGACACATTAATCCACAGCGCCACACCAGGACTCCATTTTGCTCATAGACTCTTTCAAAACAGCAACTCAGGGCTGCATTTTTCTTCAGTTCTTTCAGCTTGAGAAATGGTAAGCACATTCTTCCCTTTTGTTTTTTGTAATTCCTGGTCTTGCCACATTTCATTATAATACTTTGTCTTCTTGAGCTGTCATTTGAATTTTCTGTTCCGCTCTTTTACTTCATCATTTCTTCCAGTCACTTTTACTTCTCTATGTTCAAGAGTAAGTTTCAGAGTCTTCTGACATCCATTGTGGTCTTTTCCTTTGTTTCCTGTCGTTAATGACTTTGGCTTCATGGATCTTCTTGATGTCATCCCACAACTCTTTGGTTTTTAATCATTATTGTTTAATGCATCAAATCTAGTAGTCTTTAAATTTAGGTGGGATGTATTCAAGGTCATGGTTTTGACTCGTGGAGTTCTTAATTTTCTTTAACTTCAACCTGAGCTTGTATATAAGCAATTTTAATGTTTTTGAAGAAGCTATTTGCAATGTTTGTTCTTGAAAAAGGTGTTTGCAATAAATTAGTTACTATTGCTGGTAAGTTTCCTCAAGTTGGTTCCCACACACAAGCAACCCTTTTAGGGTTTCAAAGTAGCACCAAGTGGGTTTGAATTGCTGACCTTTTAGGTCAGCATTCCAGTGTTTATCCTACAGTGCCACACAAGGATTCTGAATAGTCATTGGTCTTCCAAAATTGTATCATGCTATCAGGTCATATTTTTTGACACTGATCTTCCTCTTTGTTTCCATCTTTCATATTCCAATCACCAGTATTATCAATGCATCTGGATTGCATCTTTGATCAGTTTCAGATTGAAAAAGTTGATAGAATTCTCCAATTTCACCATCTTTGACCTTTGTGCTTGAATAATACTGATATAAACTGGTCTTCCTTGTAGTCGTATGGATATGACCCTCTCACAGGCATCATTGTACCTTCTTGAAGTGTTCTCTTTGATGATGAATTTGATGCCATTCCTCTTGAGTTTGTTGTTCTTGGCATAGTCAATTATATGTTTATTTGATTCAAAAGAGCCACTGCCAGTTCATTTCAGTTCAGTAATGCCTAGGATATTAATCTTCATTCCATTTCAAATATAAGTATAGGAAATAAGGTTAAAATTTTTTTAAATTTAGAAATAATTAAGGAAATCTTAGCCAGAGAGAACCAAATGCTGACATTCCTTTCTTTGCTCACATAGTACATAGTAGTCAAACTCAGGTCTGACTCAAACAAGCATATGGTTTGAATCTGACTTGAGTTTGCCTCTTCTCATTTGGCTAGGTCCTAACTATGACCTGGGGCAAGTTTGGAACCTATCTTTTCTTGTTTGTAAAACAGGAGTAGTAGTAGTAACTATCAGGCTAGTAGGATCAAATCAAATAGTGTATGTGAAACTTTCAGCACAGTGCCTGAGACTACGCTAAAAAACGTAAAGGTTAAAAAATGTTACCTGGAATACACAGTATGGAAGAAATTTATTTTATATATGCTAGGTAACATTTTGAGTATTTTATACTTGTTATGTGCTGTGGAGTTGGTTCTGACTCATAGCGACCCTGTAAATCTTTACGGGAGCAGAAAGCCTCATCTTTCTCCCGTGAAACAGCTGGTAGTTTTGAACTGCTGACCTTGTGGTTCACAGCCTGATTCATAACCATTTTGCTACTTAAAGATAGTTAAAAGCATTTCTATCCATATCAAACATATCTTACCCCTGTTTGAAAAGAAACCTTTAAAAATATTTTAAAATGATAGTAGCCCATTACAGGGTCACTATGAGTTGGCAACGACTCGACACTTAATAACAACAATAATTGTATGAATTAACCATAATTTACATATTTGTTGGAAAGATAAGTTTTTTTCAAATATTGATTTTAGTAAATCAATGTTGAAGTTACCGTCTTTGCACATAAATTTTTGTCCACTTTTGTCATTATTTCTTTAAAGATTTGTTGAGGTGAAATTTCATAGAATAATCAATTAATTGATCAAAAACAAGCTTTTGATGGTTACTGGCAGACTGCATGACATGAGATATTTACCTTCCCACTGAAAGTTGCCTACTGTGTTCTCATCATCAGTGATTTAGCTTTTCTCAGGCTTTGCCAGTTTGATGGGTTGGAAATAATTTGTGCTGAGAAAATGCTCTTGTTAGTAGTATTTCTTCTTGTAAGAATTTTCTACTATGTTTTGCTTATTTGTGTATAGAGACTGTTTTCTTAATGATTTTAATGTATCTGCTCCTTACATAGTGAGAATTTCAAACCTTTATGTATTAGGTTATGGTAGGATTTTCTTCCAACTATCTGTTGGCTTTTAAATGTTGTTTTTTGTGAATACCATATGGAATGTATTCACTTTTATATTATTAAATATTTGAATCTGAATCTTTTCCTTTATTATTTTTCATGTTTATTACAGTAAAAAGTGTTAACAGAAATCCACAGTGTTTGCATATGTTTTTTTTCCATATAGTATGTTAAAATTTGAGTTTTAGACATTTAGCTCTTTAATTTACCCAGGGTTTGTTTTTGTTTTATTTTTTGATGAACAATGTAACCTGTGACAGATAAGTCATTGTGAATTTGAAGTATTAGCTCTCCCATTGGGTAAAGCAGATGATCTAAAATGCTGGAACCGTTATTTTTGGGAAGAATGACGCATAATTGTATATGAGATGTTTCACATTTTACAAATCTTGACATGTGTTTGAGATGCTTTCTCAAAATACTAAAGGCAACAATATTTATGTTCGCTCTGTAAAAGTTAAATTAAGGCATGCTGTTTTTGATTTTACAGGGTTGACATGATGAACAATCGGTTTCGGAAAGATATGATGAAAAATGCTAGTGAAAGTAAACTTTCGAAAGACAAGCTTCAGAAAAGACTTAAAGAAGAGTAAGTAGCCATTTTCATATGATTTAACAAAAAGTATTTATAACAAAGGAGTTCTGGTGGTGCTCTGTTTAAGCACTCAGCTGTTAACTGTAAGGTTGATAGTTGGAACCTACCAGCAGCTCAGTGGGAGAAAAGATCTGGCTATTTGCTTTTGTAAGTGTTATGTCCTAAGAAACCCTATGGGACAGTTCTATTTTGTAGTTGCTGTGAGTCAGCGTAAACTCTGTGGTCCACAATGACAGCATTTGTAACCTGTAGTTTATTTTGGTATGCATTGTCTTTGGTTTAGCAGCTTGGGAAGTCTGGTCATTTTGAAACGGAGCATTCATATTGAAGGAAATTTCAATATGAAATTTTTTGTGTGTGAAAGTAGGAGCATACAACAAGCACAAAGAAAATTAAGAGAGAAACTTGGAAACTCATCACCAAATGCAGTCATGTACTGCGGAATGTCTATTCGGTCATAGACGTCTGTGATCCCATAGGTTATTAGCGCGTTCAGCAGTCCCCATCAGGGAGAACAGTACACAGCAAACCCATTAGCTTCTTGGATCTCATGTCTGTTGTACTTCTAGGCATGTAACGTACACCACATACATAATCTAAAATAATTTTGTCTTGGGAGTCAAAATAAATCACTGACTTAAGTAATATACTTTTCATCTTAAAAGTTTACCATACAATCATATATGCTTCAACTCATAGGTAGCAACATCCAGTCTCGAGTAGCTCGTGTTTCTTGAATGTTGCAGCATTCTTTCTCTCTTCCATTTTCTTTCAAAACTATTACTGTGAAGTGTTCAGGACTCCCATATTCAGTCAGATCAGTGTTAGTGAGAGCAGCAGCAAAGGACAAAGGAGAAGTATTACACTGGAAGTGAAAAAAAGGTTATTAAACCAATGTGAAGGTGGAAAGTCAGTAAATGCATTGCTTTTGATTTAGGCATGATGATTCTTTAAAAAAAAAATACTCTTAAGCTGTTAAAGAATCGGCTTCACTGCAAGAAGAAGCAGGACCAGACTATGATACAGTGCTTGTGTAACATTCAAATTGCATCATGTCCTATTTCACAGAACATATTGTAGACGTTAGTGACACCTGACTGTGTAACCAAATGCTAACAGTACTTGCTTGTTCATTTTTATTTAGTAAACCATCTCTTTTCTACCATTTATAATAAAATTTAAAAATAATTCAGACACCTGCCAGGTAGGCCCAGTGATTTTTAATATTATGCCATGTTTTCTTTATATATTTATGTGGATTGTCTGTGTGTGTTTTCCAGTCTGAGAGTAAGGTGCAAACAAGAGTACACGTCACCTAAATTCTTCAGTGTATATCGGCTTAAATTAAGGACATTTTCGTTCATATTCATACCATTGTTATGCTAAGAAAATACCTAACTGTCTAGTCCGTTATTTCTCTAGTTGTCCTAAGGTTCATACATTGTATTTGTGTGTGATGGATTTTTGAATATTTTTACTATTATGGTGATTTTCTTTCAAAAGTGTTTCATGATGTGTGTGTTCTATATGACAGGAAACTTCATCATTTAGTTCCTAAGATTTGGGATGAGTTGATAAAAGCAAATAAGAGAATCATGAAACTAAATATAACTGATTAATGAATATGTAACAAGGACTACTTTAGATGGTCAGATTCGTGAAAGTTTTCAGTATGGGCAGGTTGGGACTGTTCTCTATGCATAGCCTTTCTGTTCTTATATATGCTATTTTCTTTAGAAGAGATTATAAACTTTCAAGAGTTTTCTAGCATGTGTTCTTTAAATATATTATAAATTTTATTTTTCTACTGTTACATAGATTTCAGCATGCTATGGGGGGAGTACCTGCTTGGGCAGAGACACATAGGCGGAAAAAATCTTCAGACGGTGAGTGTTGATATTCCTGTTAGTAAATGAATTCCTGTTTCTGTTCTGTTGTTATTTTCATATTCTTATGAGACTCATCAAAACCTAGTCTTTCAAGTATGTCTGGTTTTGACAGCTACCGTTTCTTTGAGGAGGGCCTTTTTTCAGTTAGGTGAATCTTATATAATGGCACATTCTCTACTTAAAAGGTCAATGAGGGTGGATTTTATTATGTTTTTTTCCTTAACAGAACTATGTTGCATTGCAGCATGGAATTAAGGAAAAATGGTTGGTATGTTACTACTTCATTCAGAATCCCTTTTGAAGACATTGACAGCTAATCTGAATGTCTATTATCAAATTATTACTATTTGAAAATACAGCATCTATAGAACGATAGCATTTTGCATCTATATAATTAAGGGCCTGTGTAATAAAGATTATAATAGTTGTTGAAACAGAAAAAGCCCCAGATACCAATGATTTCGTTCTGTGGAAGTTGTTTCTGTGTGCTCATAAAATTGGAGTGGGGTGTTTTCTTCAATTTCCAAGTTTCTAGAGGCTCTGCCATCTTCAGGCTACATTTTCCAAAGTTGCTCAAGATTTTGATATTCATGTGGCTTATGGAGGAGGAGAGACTCACCCAAAGGAAATTTTTATGGGTCTGTCCTAAAAGTGATTTATAGCCCCCACATTTTATTGGCCAGGTCTCAGTCACAAGGCCACTAACTGCACGGGATCCCAGGAAATGTCGTTCGCATTAGTGCACAGAAGACAAGGAAATTAATTCCATTACAGACTATCCAGTCCGCTTCCATCTGGGATATCCTAGTCTAATAATGGCCTGAAGAAAGTGAGGTTCAAAGAAATAAAATGACCTGTCTGAAGTAATTTCTTATTGGCAGAGTAGTGACTACAACCCAGCTTTATTTACATCTACCTGTATTATGTCTTTTCATCTTTAAATGTTTCCTTGAGTATCTTTTAGTGAGTTATTTTGTTTTTAAACATTACCACAATACTATCATCGCACACCTCCAAAGAGTCCATGGTTAGTTTTCTGGTGCTTTAAAATCTGGTTTGATGTCTTTTGTAGGTTTTGAAATTCTTAAACATTAATGCTTTAAATATCTTTTCTGTTATGGTCGTTTTTTCCTTCTGAGAGATCAATTACATATATGTAAAGGGTTTTAAGCTATTCTGTGTTCTTTTTTGTATGTTTTCTTCTTTTTTATTTCTGCAGTTTAGTCTGGATATTTTTCTGATCTTTTGTCGAAACCACTAATTTTGTCTTCAGCTAATTTTGATTATCCACTGGAGTGGATGTATATTTTACTTACAGCATGTTTTTGGTTCTAGAATTTCCAGTTCATTCTTTTTTATAGTTGCTGGTTTTTTTGACAAGGAGCACTGGTGTCAGAGTGGATAAGTACTCATTTGCTAACAAGGTCAACAATTTGAACCCAGCAGCTGCTCCATTGGATAAAGATGAGACAGTCTGCTTCCATAAAGATTGTTGTGGTTGGATAATCGAGTTAGTTTTGACTCATAGTGACCTTGTGTGACAGAATAAAACTGATCCATAGGGTTTTCTTAAAAGGCTGTAATCCCCAGGTCTTTCTGTTGCAGAGTCACCAGGTGGGTTTGAACCACCAACTTTCCAGTTAGCCACCTAATGCTTAACCATTTAGTCCCCAGGACCCCTTTTGTAATGATTATAGCCTTGGAAACCCCATGGGGCAATCCTAGGTCTTACAAGGTGGATATGAGTTGCTGTCTCCTCGACAGCAGTAATACTGACTTAGTTATTTTTCATTGAGTGTTAGACATTATACGTGAAAAACTTGATTAACTAGAGGCCTAGGATGATATTCTTTTTTTCGAGAGAGTATTCGTTCTTTCTGGTAGGTAAGTGGTTGGGTAAGGGACGCTAGCAGTCTCAGAGCTTTTCAATCCACTGATGGATTGTGATGATTTAAAGCTGGGTCTTGTCCCTGGGAGAATTTTAAATAATTCTTTGACTTCACCCTTAATTGTAGAGTGTTGCCTTTTGACACCCTAAAACAAAGTCTGGTGATTTTTCCAGCGCCTGTCAAGAGTCAGAGGCCTCCCACCTCTGGGTTTTGCCTTTTAGCCTCCTTAAGTCTAATCTCTGCTTTGCTTCGCTACTAAAATTGTTAGTCATCTCTGGGGGAAAAGCAACCCTATTAGCTCTGTTTGCAGCTATAATAAACTGTGTGCTGACATTGACCTTTCAGTCACCTAAATGTTCTAGTTCTTTTTCATGTGAGTTGTTAAGCTTAATCTACTATCCACTCTATTGCCATTTTTGCTGTAGTTATGTGCTGCTCTATTTAAATGCTGGCATTATTTCATCTCATCTTGTTTTAGTCCCTGTGTGTGTGTCTTTCTTTCCAGAGTGAAGTTTTAATTTTAACCATTTATATTGAGCTCTTTATCCTTTCTTTCAAATATGTTTTGCTGTTTGACTTTTATTAAATCCGTCTTCTAAAAAAGTGATTTGAGTTTGGAAGGCTGGGAGGAAAGTTGAAGTGTGAAATGTGAGTGAGTGTGATAGGAAAAGGACAATCTCATTGATTCTAAAGCTCAGCCTGTGGGTTTATTTGACGTAGATGAAAGCGAAGAGGATGAAGATGACTTGTTGCAGAGGACTGGGAATTTCATATCCACATCAACTTCTCTTCCAAAAGGAATCTTGAAGGTGAGAAGCCAGTGAGCTGGAACCTGTTCAGTTACTTGCCTCTGAAATCCAATTTGGTTCCTGCATTTACTGTCAATTTTTCAAAGATTTGTGTGCTTTGTTTTTCTTTTGTGAAAATGATTGAGTTATTAGGTACCAAGGAATCCTACTTGATTTCTCCTTTTGCATTTCTTATCATTTCCATTGGCACCAGCCTAGTGCACACTACTGTCATTACTCACTTGATATACTATTTCAAGAGCTTTATTACTTTATTCCCCCCTCTGCTTTAATCTTCCCTAGTCCATTCTCCATATAGTAGCCACAGTGGTCTTTTAAAATCAGGTCATGTCACTTGTTAATTCTCTTAGAAGGCGGAATTCTTTCCTAAAGCCAGTAATACCTTGCACAGTCTGACTTCTGCCTAGCTCTTCAACCTCATCTTGGACCTCTTTCCCCTGTATTTCAGTATTTGAAGCTCTTGGGCCTACCTCCTGTTTCTTGAACATGCCAAGTTCGTTATTGCCTCTGAATCTTTGCTCTTTTGGCATCCCTTCTGCCTGTCTGTTCTTTAAGCATAACTCATAGCTGGCTTACTCTTAACCTTTCAGCTCAAATAGTACCTTTCTTGGCCATATCTTAGATACTTTCTAACTCATTACTGTGTCTAGCTTGTTCATTGTAGTAACCAAGTGCCTACCTAACATAGTGCTTCCATTGAATGTTTGTCAGATCAATAGATCTGTAACATAGATATTTGTCCCCATTGTAAAACAATGACGTGTATTTAAATAAGGAGGGAACCACTGTTCTGAATTACCAGAAGATAGAGGAGAACAATTCATTCAGCTCCTTATTGGATGAATTTATCCTCATTGAAAATACAATTGTATACACATTTGTACTTCATTGTTGTTTGTTGTTTAATGTTGGCGCAGGGTTTCTGAGGAATGGCTGGTGGATTTGAACCGCAGACCAACCTTGGTAAAACAAGTATATACAAGCAGACTTCAAGAAAATAATGGAAAAATTAACTATCTTTTAATTCCATTTTTCTGTGAACTATTTGAAATCCCCTTGTATGTATGTGTGTGTGTGTGTGTGTGTGTGTATATATACATAAACGAGATTCCAGGTGTGGTGCTGTAGGATAAACACTGGACTGTTAACCACAAAGTCAGCGGTTCAAGCCCATCAACTACTCCTCAGAAACCCTGTACAGGGTTGCTGTGAGTGGGAATCAACTTGACAACAGTTAACAGCAACAGATAATAAATATATATGTTGTTGTTGTTAAGTGATGTTGAGTCTGTTGCAACTCATAGAGACATTGTAACAGGATTTCCAAGGTGAAACAGATGGTTTTGGACCACTGACCTTGTTGTTGTTAAATGCCGTTGAGTCGATTCCAACTCATAGCGACCTTTTATAGGGTTTCCAAGGTGAACTTGAACCACTGACCTTGCAGTTCAAATGACTTTGCAGTCTGATGCCACAACTCTACACCAGGCTTCCACTGACAATTGACCGTGATGATACAAGTGAAGTAAAGCTTTCAAAACCTTCATTTACTAATGGAACACAACTTGAAATGAGGAAAAATAACTGTAAATATCCATTAATAATTGGAACATGGAATGTATCAAGTATGACTCTAGGAAAATTGGAAGTTGTCAAAAATGATCTATATTTGTGCAATACTGTAGGATAAGCACTGGACCACAAGGTCGGCAGTTCAAACTCAACATTTGCTCTTGGGAAACTCTATACTGGGTTGCTATGAGTGGGAACCTTCTCAATGGCATATAACAACAACAACAACAACAACAACAACAGGCATTAGTGAGCTAAAATGGACTGGCACTGGGAATTTTGAATCTGACAGTCATATGGTTTACTATGGTGGGAAAGAAAGACAAACTGCAGTCAAGTTGTGTTAATAATTACTGCTGATTAGAATGCAAAGGTTGAAAATGAAGGATCAGCAGTTTAAAAAAAGTGACTTGGTGATAGAAATGATGCTGGAGACTGCATAATATAGAATTTTTACAAGATCATCAAATTTTTCTTTGCAAATATAAAAATGACTTTAAAAGATAACTATACACATGGACCTCACTAGATGGAATACACAGGAATCAAATTCACTACAGCTTTAGGAAGAGATGGTGGCAAAACTCAACGTCATCCGCCAAAACAGGCTAGGACCAGACTCATGTGGAAGTTCAGGTTGAAGCTGAAGAAAAGTAGTCCATGAGAGCCAGATTCTGACCTTGAACATATCCCACATGAATTTAGAGATAATCTCAAGAACAAAGTTGATGAATTAGACACTAATGACCGAAGACCAGAGAGTTGTAGGATGATATTAAGAACATACAGGAAGAACGCAAGAAGTCATTAAGAAACCAGGAAAGAAAGAAAAGACCAAAGTGGATGTTAGATGAGAGGATGAAATTTGGTGTCCAGTGGAGAGATGCGAACACAAATGGAAAAAGTGAAAAGCTGAAAGAACTGAATAGGAAATTTCAAAGGGCAGCTTGAGAAAACGAAGTATAATGAAATGTGCAGACCTGAGGTTAGAAAATCAGAAGAGGAAGAATATGCTCAACATTTCTGAAGCTGTAAGGAACTGAAGAAAAAATTAAAAAGGTTCAACATGCAATGTTGAAGGATTCTAGGGGCACAAGATAATGAAGGATGCAGAAAGCATCGAAAGAAGATGGAAGGAATACAGTGTCACTTTACCAAAAAGAAATGGTCAATATTCAATCATTTCAAGAGGTAGCATGTGATTAAGAGCCAATAGTACTAAAGGAAGAAGTCCAAGGTTCACTGAAAGCATTGGCAAAGAACAAGGCTTTGGGAATTTGATAGAATACAAATTGAAATTTTTCAACAAACTGCAACACTGGAGGCAGTTGATCATCTATGCCAAGAAATTTGGAAGACCAACCAATTGGAAAAGAACCATTATTTGTGCCCATTCCAGAGAGAGGTGACCTAATGGAATGGGGAAATCATTGGAAAATATAAATATCACATGCAGGTAAATTTTTGCTAAAGATAATTCTAAAACAGCAGATGTAACAGTACACTGAGGAGGAACTGCCAGAGGTTCAAGCTGATTTCAGACAAGGATGTGGATCATGGGATATCATTGCTGACTTCAGATGCATCTTGGCTGAAAGCAGAGAGTACCAGAAGGATGTTTACATGTGCTTCATTGACTCTGCAAACGTTTTCAGCTGTGTGCATCATGACACGCTCTGGACAACATTGCGGAGAATGGATATTCTGGAACGCTTAATTCTACTCATGAGGAACCTGTACATAGCCCAAGAGATAGTCATTCCAACAGAACAAGGCAAGGGGACACTGCACGATTTAAAATAATGCGTGTCAGGGTTGTATTCTTTCACTATCCTCATTCAGTAAGTATGCTGAGCAAACAATCTGAGAAGCTGGATTACATGAACAAGAATGTGGTATCAGGATTGGAGGAAGTCTCATTAACAACCTGTGATATGTAGATGATATCTTTCTTGTTGAAAGTGAAAAGGACTTAAAATACTGATGAAGATCAAAGGCCATAGCCTTTAGTATGGGTTGCTGCACTTCAGTGTTAAAAATCCTCACCACTGGAGCAATAAATAACATCTTGATAATTGGAGAAATGATTGAAGTTGTCAAAGTCTTCATTTTGCTTGGATCCACTATAAACACTCAAGGGGCAGGTACAAATCAAAGGACATACTGACTTAGGCACAAGACCTCTTTAAAAGTGTTTAAGAGCAAAGATGTCAATTTGAGGACTAAGGTACTCGGGCTATTGTACTTTCAGTAGCCTCAAATGCATGTAAAAGACAATGAATAAGGAAGACCATAGAAGAATTGATGCATTTAAATTATGGTGTTGGAGAAGAATATTAAAAGTACCCTGACTGCCAGAAGAACAAACAAATCTGTGTTGGAAGAAGTACAGCCAGGATGCACCTTAGACCTAGGTTGGTTAGACTTTTGTCTCTCATACTTCTAACATATAATCAGGAGGGACCAGTCCCTGGAGAAGGATATCATGCTTGGAAAATGGAGGGTCAGCGAAAAAGAGGAACACCAAGAATATGGATTGGCATAATGGTAGCATCAGTGGACTCAACTGTAACAGTGATCGGGAAATGGTATAGGACTGGGCAGTATTTTCACTCTGTTGTGCAGAAACTCACTGTGAGTTGGAACTGATTTGATGGGTCTTGGTGTGGCCCTGTGGGTTAATGCGCCAGACTGCAAAGCAATTTGAACTGCAAGGTTGGCAGTTCAAACTCACCAGCTATTCCTCGGAAACCCTATACAGAGTCGCTATGGGTCAAAACCAACTCGTCGGCATTTAACAACAACAACGTTGGGGAACACACTTGACTGTCAGTTGTGGTATTTTTTTGTTTTGTGTTTTTCCTTTTAAATTTTATTTTGTTGTTGCAATTCTGCACAGCAAAAATACACTGTTTCAAAAGTTTATACACGTACAATATAGCAGCATTTGTTGTGATAGTGCTTTAAGACTGTTTAATAAATCTAGACTTCTAGATGTGGAAAGAACCTTAGTCATTCCTTTATTGCGTTTGACAGATGATAAAGATGGAGTCTACTGACATAGTAAAGTGATTTGCTAGTTGGAGCCAGATCTGTAGTCTTGTGGTTACCATTCCAGTGCACTCTCCTCTGCATTGTAAATGACTTTGTAATATTTCTTCTTTATAGTCTAAAGAAAATATGGTAACCCATTTAAATTGGTACAATTCCAGCTTTATTTTTTCCCAGATGAAGAACTGCCAAAATGCTAATGCTGAACGTCCTACTAGTGCTCGCATCTCGTCTGTGCAGTTCCATCCTGGTGCTCAAGTTGTGATGGTTGCTGGGTTAGACAATGCTGTTTCACTATTTCAGGTATGTGCTTTTAAATGAGGATTTATATGGTTTGTGTTTACTATCAGGATCTGGAAATAACCAAGAGAAACCTTTTATACTTCCTTAATAGGTTGATGGAAAAACAAATCCTAAGATCCAGAGCATCTATTTGGAGAAGTTTCCAGTCTTTAAGGCTTGTTTTAGTGCTAATGGAGAAGAGGTTTTAGCCACAAGTACTCACAGCAAAGTCCTTTATGTCTATGATATGTTGGCAGGAAAGTTAATTCCTGTGCATCAAGTGAGAGGTAAGGTTTCTGTTGAATATGTAGCAGTCAGTCTCTTTAACCTCTTAACCTAACAGGAATTGATTTAACATTTACAATCACTGTTTCCCATTGAGTTGTTGCATTGTGTTCATGCTTCCATAAAACCAGTGAACTGACTTATTTATTAAGCACTTATTATGGGAAGAACTTAATATAGGTCTGTATGTCCCCCAGAAAAGTAGTTGCAAATACTTGGCTGTAAAAGTAGGTAGCGATACAGTAGGAAGAGCATGAAGGGTGGGAATTACAAGACTAAGGTTTCACTTTTTTGGATAGGTTGTTTACCCCTCTGATCTTAAGGCAATTTGGACATACTGTGATTTTATTGGCTATTATTAAAGAAGTTTGGTTTCTATTTAAAGGAAATGAAACGCTACTTTTGGAGTTGTATAATACATTTTCAAGCTACAGTGGACCCTTAAAAAAAAACAAGGGTTGGGGCGCTGACTCTCCCCATGCAGTAAAATCTATAATTTTGACTGCCCAAAAACTTAATGTCTAATAGCTTGCTATTGACTGGAAATCTTGCCTGATAACATGAACAGTCAATTAACACATATCTTATATGTTACACGGATTATATACTGCACCCACATGAAAGCTGCATCTTCAAAATGAGATAAAAGTTATTTTGCCAAAAGTATATAATGTTTTCCTACCTCCTAGAGTAGCTAAAGCAAAGGTTTCATGAATTTCCTTTTTTATTTTTTTACAATGGTCCTTATGATGAATTTATCTGTCTTGAAATGTCTTGAAACAGCAGAATTCAATCTGTCGTATGAATCAAGCAATTCAGCATTGTCTTGTCATGTCCTGACTGCTTTTGTGGACCACTTCCAGCATCACTAGTGCTGCTTGGTACGGATTCCATGCTGTTCTTCAAGGTTTATGGCATTGCACGAAACGTTGAAAAATACACAACTGGGAGAGGTTACTTTTTACTGTGGTATGCAATTTACTGGAGAAAGGAACTGCTCACGCGGAAATACTAGTTTCACATGCATTTAAAGAAAATACATAGGAACCTGCATAGTTCAAATCTGCGTTGTTCAAGACTCAACTGTACTTAACTTACACTGTTTATTAGTTGAAAATTTTTCTGTCTTCAACCTTTGCGCATTCTCTTGTGCTCACCACCACCACCACCACCACCACCACCACCCTACCTCCATTATTACAAAATTTAATGAGACCTTGAATCTCTGGGGTACCAAAACCCTTGTGATGAAGTTGATTAGATTAATGTCATAAATCTGGGGAGGCGGTGTTGGCATATGCTGCAGCTCACTGGCAGCCTCTCTGTTAAACTACATGTGGGGTGAAAAAAAGGGTAATTTTGGACAGCCGGTTTTCTGCAGTTGTTAAGTGCCACCGAGTCGAGATGTTTATATTCAGTATCTCCTGACACTGTCAGTGCACCTTTCCAGGTAGATAACTGAGTTCGTCTACTCATACTTCAAACCAGGACATCTCAGTGTGCACGTGAATCACTGGACCTCCTTAAAATGCAGATTCTGTCTGGCTTGGAGCTGAGATCCTGCATTTCTAACAGGTTTCTGGATGATGCTGATGTTGCTGATTCTTGGATTGTACTTTATTTGAAAATGTTTAACCATCTCTGAATACAGTCTTTCTAATCAAAAGGAATGGGCAATTCCCCTTCCTCGATCCTCTTGGAAGCTAGTGATTGGCCAAGATATATGTGAGTGAGCTTTTTATTTTTTCAAAGCTTTTGTGAGCTTTTTATTTTTCAAAGCTTTTATTATGAATTGAGTGATAGTTTACATGGGTGAACATTTGATTTCATTGCAATGATTTTAATCTCTTTCATGAATCATCAGTTAACAGTATTTGCTTTTATTCCCTCTGTTTTTTCTTTTTTGACTTACACAAAAACATTCAAGAATATATAATTGTTTAAACAACCAAAAGGCACATTCTGCAAGCATCCTGGCCCCCACAACCATTCTCTTTCCATGAGTCTAGAGTCTTTAGCTGCTCAATCTTTCCATCTTAATCGCCTCTGCCTCCATCTCTGGTGTCACTGCTTCTCTGGTTATAGTCCCACGTTCCGAACGCTCATGCTCTTCTCTCTTGATGGTCCTAGGGCCCTCTGTTCCTAGAATGTAAGGTTAACTACTTCCCACTTTTTGTTACACAATTTCTACCTTTATGTTGTGACAATCACAATTAGTCATGATCACAAATTACTCACTATTGAATCAAAAGAATCCTATCCCCATCTCCTTTCACCAGACCCATATAGACAAGATGAAACTATTCAGTGGGAATTCTGTCTTCCCCCGGACACTGTGAAACTTAAACTCCCTCTTGAAAATGTGTAAACACGCCACTTCATGCCTTTATAGCGTCCTCCGTTTTAGATAGCCAATGTCTTAAGATGCCCATCCCCATCAACCCTGTGTACAAAAGGGATAGGCTTGGTCCTTGATATGAAGACTCCTTCCCTCTAGGTTGATATTTTGAGCTACTACAACCAGAAGTATATGTCAAGTTCATCAGATTGTAGCAGTTTACTCTGAGTGAGCTTTTCTGGGTTTGTTAGGCGTGTAGGAGTGTGTACCAGGTTTCTTTGATACACATATCTTTCCCTTCTAATGTTTTTCAGTTTCTTTCCTCAGTGAGCATAGTTTGGGAATAATGGAATTAGAGTTTGAGGGGTAGATAGCTGTTGAGAACTATTCTTAGTCTTCCATTAGCATAAAATGCCAAGAGGAAAACTTGTCAACCTGTAGGAGTTTGAGCCTTACACATATGTAAACTTGTGGTTACCCTCTGTGTAAATGCTAGTTTGAAAATGAATGGTGCCTTCTATTAACCTAATAGGGATTCATAATCTGGGATCCACAGACTCTTGCAGTTTCTTGATTATCATTCAGGGGTTTGTGATTTGGATGTGAAAACCATTTTTATTTTTATGAAGTTCTAACTGAAATCAAACATTTCTTTCAACTATAAATGTATTCAACCATTATTCTGAGGTTGTCATTTAAAAACACAGTTTTTTAAGAGATTTGTCTTTACCTGAATACACATTTAGCAAAAAGAATTTAAATATATGGTAATCAAAATAGCCACTTATTTTGACTGTAGATATTAGGGTCTCGTAATCTTTGCCTCTTGTTTTTCTCTATCAACTTGTTGTTAAGTGCCATCTAGTCGGCTCCAACCCATAGCGACCCTGTATAGAGTTTCCAAGGAGCACCTGGTGATCTTGAACCGCCGACCTTGCAGTTCAGACGGCTTTGCAGTCTGGTGCATTAACCCCCAGTACCACATCAGGATTCTTTCTATAAACTTATTGTTGTTGTTATGTGCTGTGGAGTCGGTTCCAACTTATAGTGACCCTGTACAGGGTTTCCTAGGCTGTAAATCTTTACAGGAGCAGAAAACCTCATCTTTCTCCCGTGGAACAGCTGGTAGTTTCGAACTGCTGGCCCTGAGGTTAACAGCCCAATTCGTAACCTAACTTAAAGGGTTAAATATTAAAAGAGCTCCTAAGCTACTCCTTGCCATATGGCAAATGCTCAGTAAGTGGTAAGTGCCATCCATCATTGTTAGGAACAGCATGTTATCTGATTGCAGTCAATCTACTCTCTGGAGTTGGGCTTTATTGTAATGAAATTGGTCACTCCTGTTTTTACTAATTGGTTAGCAGCCTCCCTTAAAGCATTTCGTCTTTCCCCAGGCCATATTACAAACTATCTGACCTCTAGTTTGAGATTACAGTAATGCTTACAATCCCAATGGCTGCCTGAGCTACTAACTGGATTCTCAAAGATTACAGTTACGATGATATTAGCATCTAGTGTAACACAGTAGGATAAGCACTGAACTGCTAACTGCAAGGTTCAAACCCACCAGCCATTCCTTGGAAACCTTATACAGGGTCACTGTGAGTCAAAACTGACTTGACAATTCTTGGTGACTCGGGAGAAAGATGAGTGTGTCTGCTCCTGTATAGATTTACAGGCTTGTACGTCCCTAGGGAGCAGTTCTGCTGTATCTTATAGGGTCACTCTGAGTTGGAATTGACTCAGTGGCTGTGAGTTATTTGATTTTTGGTGAGATCAAAGGCAAAATGCTGTATACCTATAACGATGAAAATACAGTCCTCTTATTTTTCTAATTGCTAAAACAACAGCCGTCCTTATTTGTTGGAGGTGGTACTCTTTCTTGAGGACACCCTCTTCTTCCAAATTGCCTAAAGACAATAAGCTTATTTAGGCCAAAAGAGTAATGTCTTCTAGCTACTTGCTCGAAGAGGAACAGTGGGATGCATAGTGAGTTCTGTGCCACTTTGCCTCTGTTGCTGAATCGCTGGGTTGTTGTGTTCTACAGTATTTTACTCTGAAGATACCTGTGCCGTCTATCCCTGCCAGGGCTGAACTGGTGCTCAGCTCTAGGCTCCAGTTTAGTTCATTCTCACATACTCACATTCTCACTGCCCAATACTTAAACTGTCAGGGTTAAGTCTAGAGGACTTTTAACTTAAGCCTCACACTGTGTTAGAACTTGCTTTCCTCCCCTCGCCCCATTGTAATGTAGTTTTCTTTTTCTTATATATGGATATGTATCTGTATATTGATTGTACATAGGTTTTACCCAGAATACGGGATTAAAATTATTCAACAGAAGTAGGTTCCTAGAGAAGCAAGCGGATCATCAGCAGAAATAATCCCAATGATTGGAAATAACGTGTCTCAGTTGATTTTGAGTATACAAGTCCAATCATGGGAACTATGGTGTGATACCCAGTTTGTAACAGTGTGAGCCATCTAAACAAAGACTATTAACCAGGTACAGATGGTCTGTATGGAACCCAGCATTTCCCAAGGACAATCAATGTATGCTACATTCTTATGGGGAGCAAGAGTATTTCATGAGAGTTTCCTAAATATCTTTCTGATTTTATGTTCACTTAGAGACTTAATTTTTTTAATAGCTATCTTTTGACTCGGCAGTACATTCACATGGTATAAAAATCCAATAGATACAAGAGGGTATGTAGTGAAAGTCTTCCCATCCATCTCCCTGGCTGTCTACTTCCTTTTTTAGAAGGTCACCAATTGTACGTATTCTCATGCATTCTTTCCATTGTTGTTGTTAAATGCCATCCAGTCAGTTCTTACTCATAATGACCCTTTATAGGATTTCTGAGGAGAGGCTGGTAAATGTGAAACACTGACCTTGTGGTCCAGTGCGTTATCTCACAGCAGCACACCAGGACTCCATTCTTTACATTAGGCAATTTTTAATAAGTAACGGTTCTCTACGCATTCTGGTATCAGAAGGGGTATCCTGCATAGTAAGTATGAAGTGTTTAGCCATGGAGAGGGGACGTGGTCCTCTGTAAGGAATTGATTCTGTGGGTTATATATCTAGATCTTATGGTTTGACTACGTGGTTCATATCCTGAGAAGCTAACCAGCTTCTTTATATACTGATATGTTGTGATTTTTAAAATTTCTTTCAGACAAAGAATTAAGAGTCAGTCTCCCATTCATTGTGGGATGCTTAGTAGGTGGTAACAACTAGGTTATATTGGTGGTATTCTATTTCTGACTATCTCTAATTGCAGTGTATGTTTTTCTGATTGTGAACTTCAATAAAGCAGTATAGTTTGCCCTATTAATTAGAGCTATTATTGCTTATGGAGTCTTGATGTGGTGCTGTGGGTTAATGCACTGGACTGCCAAGTCAGTTTGATCTGCAAGGTTGGTTGTTGATGTTCACCAGCTGCTGCTTGGAAACCCTGTACAGGGTCGCTGTGGGTCCAAACCAACTCAATGGTACTTAACAACATCATTACTACTGATACTGGGAAAATGAGGTGATATGTTTACTATATGTGTTGCCAAACCGAAACAAGAGTTTGTCACCAGTCACTGTAGTCAATCACAGAGACAATCCAAGCTTTATTAGCAGAAAGTCTGGAGGATGGAGAGAATAATATCTCAAGACCATCCTGTCTTTCACAAAGAGCGGGCACATTATATAGGGTAAGTTGTACCCTTCATCTATTTTAACATCAAGATAGCATTCATTGGAAAAAAGAAACAATGAGGCAATAAAATTCCTCAAACCATCTACCTTTAGGGAAAAAGAAACAAATCAACAAACTTCCTCAAACATTCTACCTCTAGGATCTCAGCTGCTTAATTCTTAGGATAACTGTCTGGGTGGGTTTAAGCAAGCCCAATTCTCCCTGTCCTCTTCTAGGACCAGAAGGCCATCTTAGCTAATTTTTAAACTTCCTCATTTGCAAGGGTCCTCATTTAAGACCTACTGACTAAACCCACTCCATTTTGTTTCAGTCAGTAGATCCATGCTATCATGTGGGAATTGGATCTTTGGCTTGTAATTAAAATGATAAATGTTAGCTAGGTAGTAAAGAAGTTTGTCAAGTACTTTTGTGTGTGACTTTCAGTTTAGGTCAAGCATCAAAACAAGATGGAAGGAATACACAGTATCACTGTACCAAGAGGAAATGGTTGATGTTCAACTGTTTCGAGAGGTGGCATATGATCAAGAGCCAATGATACTGAAGGAAGAAGTCCAAGGTGCAATTGGCAAAGAACAGGGTTCCAGGAATTGATGGAATAAAAATTGAAATCTTTCAAGAAAGTGAGGTGGCTCTGGAGGGACTCACTCATCCCTGCCAACAAATTTGGAAGACAACCATCTGGCTGACTGATTGGAAGAGATCCATATTTGTGCCCATTCCAAAGATAGGTGACCCAATGGAATGCGGAAATCATCGGACAATATCTTTGATATCCCAAAAAGTTTTACTAAAGGTAATACAGAAATGGCTGCAAGCATATATTGACAGAGAACTTCCAGAGGTTCAGGCCAGATTCAGAAGAGGATGTGGAATGAGGGATATCATTGCTGATGATCGGTGGATCTTGGCTGAAAGCAGCGAATACCAGAAAGATGTGTACCTGTCTTTATTGACTACACAAAGGCTTTCAATGGTGTGGATCATGACAAGCTATGGACAACATTGCGAAGTATGAGTATTCCAGAACACTTAATTGTGCTCATGAGGAATCTACGTGGACTAAGAGGCAATTGTTCAAAGAGAACACTGAATGGTTTAAAATTAAGAAAGGTGTGCGACAGGGTTGTATTCTTTAACCATATTTCTTCAACCTGTATGCTGAGCATATAATCCGAGAAGCTGGGTTATATGAAGAAAAATGCATCAGGATTGGAGGAAGACTCATTAACAACCTGCAATATGCAGATGATACAACTGTGCTTGCTGAAGTGAAGAGGACTTAAAACATGTACTGATGAAGATCAAAGACCACAGCCTTCAGTATGGATCGCATCTCAATGTAAAGAAAACAAAAGTCCTCACCACTGGACCAATAAACAATATATTTATCAATGGAGAAAAGATTGAAGATGTCAAAAGTGTGGAAGAGCAAAGATGTCAGCTTGAGGACTAAGGTAAGCCTGACCCAAGCCATGGTATTTTCAGTAACCTCATATGAGTGTGAACACTGGACAGTGAATAAGGAATACCGTAGAAGAATTGATGCATTTGAGTTAATGTGTTGGAGAAGAATATTGAAAGTGTCATGGGCCGCCAAAAGAACCAACAGATCTGTGTTTGCAGAAATGCAGCCAGGATGGCCAAACTTCGTTTCTCATACTTCGGACATATTGTCAGGAGGGACCAGTCGCTAGAGAAGGATATCGTGTTTGTTAAGGTGGAGGGTCAGAGAAAAAGAGGAAGACCCCAGTGCAAGATGGATTGGCAAAGTGGCAGCATCAATGGGCTCAAGCTTGGCAACAATTGTGAGGTTGGCCCAGGAGTGGGCATTGTTTCATTCTGTTGTGCATAAGGTCACTATGAGCCGGTACCAATTTGATGGCACCTAACAACAATTAGGTCATGAAAGAGCTCTGGTAGCGCATAGTGGCCAAGAATTAGGCTGCTAACCTCAAGGTCAGCAGTTCGAAACGTCCAGGTATTTTGTGGGAGAAAGATGAGGCTTTCTGCTCCCATAAAGATTTACAGCTACAGAAACCCTCCACAGGGTTGCTATGCGTCGAAACTGACTCCACAGCACAATTAACAATCACTACCTGGTAGCGTAGTGGTTATGAATCGGGCTGTGAACCTTAAGGTCAGTGGTTCGAAGCTACCAGCCACTCCGCGGGAGAAAGATGAGGCTTTCTACTCCGTAAGGATTTACACCCTCGGAAACCCTGTACAGGGTCGCTGTGGGTTGGCTCCGACTCGAAGGCACTTAACAACAACAACAACAACAACCACCACCATTTAGGTCATGCTCAGTAATGCAGCGTGTCGGAATTGTTCAAAGTCTGAGCCTAGATTTTGTGTAACAGGAGGCATTTAGACATTGTAAAAGGTCAGTAAGGATAGCGCTTTTGAAAACCCCATCAATCCTATTTTAATTGATTTATCTCCATTCTTAGGTTTGAAAGAGAAAATAGTGAGGAGCTTCGAAGTCTCTCCAGATGGGTCCTTCTTGCTCATAAATGGTGTTGCTGGATATTTTCACTTACTATCAATGAAGGTGAACCATTACTAATTGCTGGTGTGTCTGCTTGCAAGTAGGTGGGCACAGGTGGACTTCTTGGGGAAAGATCTGAGCGTAAGGGAAAAAGTTGATAGATACTGGAAAATAGAGGACTAGATTGTGTTTATTCAGTAGAGTGTGATTCTTTCATACACTTTGCAACAATTTGATAAGTAATATTCACTTTCAGACTAAAGAACTGATTGGTAGCATGAAAATTAATGGAAGGGTTGCAGCATCCACGTTCTCGTCAGATAGTAAGAAAATATATGCCTCATCAGGTAAGTTAACTTGGGGTGTGTTTGCAGTTCAAATTCAACCAAAATTTGTATTTAGCTTTAGACTTCTTTGGGTAAGAAAGTCTTATTTTTAGAATCCGTTTTTACTGCCACTTGACTTTTCAGTTATTTACTAGTAATAAATGGCTAACTGTTGTGGTGCTGTAGGATAAGCACTGGACTGCCGACCAAAAGATCGGCAGTTCAGAGCCACCACCTGCTTCTCAGAAACCCTATACGGGGTCGCTATGAGTTGAAATTGACTTGACAGCACTTAACACCAACAACAAAAATGCCACATTTTCTTTACATGGATCAGTTTTTGAATTCTTAAAACAATTCTCTGAGGCATAAGGATTTAAGTAACTTTGCCAAGCTAGGTGAGGTGAAATTAGGTGGCTTGGAGTCCAGGCTACTAAAGTTGTCTTAAGTCCGATGCAAGAATTTAGACTTATTGTAATAGGAAAATAAGAACTAGACTTTTACATGATGAGGTGACATGTTGAAAACTCAACTTTTGAGAAGATTATTCCCAAAACTTTCAAATCATTTTTAAAATTAAGATAATTGGTCCCTCGATGTTTTGGATATGGTATCTTGTTATTAAAGCTTTATGAGTATAAATTTAACATTTGTAAATGCAGCATTAATTCTGGCGTGATGCTGCGGGTTAATGCACCTGGCTGCAAAGTCTTTTGAACCAGAAGGCCAGTGGTTCAAGCTCACCAGTCACTCCTCGGAAACCCTACACAGGGTTGCTGTGGGTCGGAACTGACTCAACGGCACTTAACCATCAACAACAATATAACATATTTACAAATTTGGTCACTAATATAGAGGTGTAGGAGCTCTGGTAGTGTAGTGGTTACGAGTTGGGCTGCTAAGAAACTACCGACGGTTCAGGGGAAGAAAGATGAGGCTTTCTGCTCCTGTAAAGATATACAGCCTCCGGAAACCCTGTACAGGGTCGCTATCCACAACACATCTCCGGGGCATATAACCATCACCATTGCAGAGGTGTAGTTGTCTATAAGAAAGGTCCTAGTAGCCATATAGTAAAGTTAGGAATTGCCTCACATATCAGTCGTGGTGGTGGTTCTCATTGCGCTCCCTTGCTCCTCTTCTGCTTGGATTATGTTGTGTAATTGGAATTCATATTGTTTTGTGACCTATTAAGAATATTTTCAGTTAGCACTAAGAGTTAAATGAGTTAATCTTATTTCAAACTAAAAGAAATTTTTTTTCTTTGATTTGTCATTTTCTCTTTCTGAGTTTTTATCAACTCATAACAATTTAATGGCTTTTCTTCCTGCCTTTCATCTCTTCCCATTTTAGCTTATTGCTGGATAAATCTTTCTCCACCTCCCTTTATCACAGCATTTCCCTACAGGCAAACATGTAAGGCAAGGACTTGTTAATCTGGCCCTGCTCAGTTTTTCCAAGTATGTTTTTCTACTACCTAGTCTGTGCTCTGGGAAAGCACTGTGGCTGTGTATGTTAAGCACTGAACTGCCAACTACAGGGTTGGAGGTTGGAGCCACCAGCTGCTCTATGGGAGAAAGCTGAGGCTTTCTAATCTCGTAAAGATGTATAGCCTTGGAAACCCTACATGCAGGGTCACAGGGTCGGATTCTACTTGATGGCACATAACAACAGTCTACACCCCTAGCCTGGGGTATTTTTACTAGTTAAGAAGATATCTGAAACAGTGAGATTCACTGGGAAAATAGCATAGAGAAGTGTGAATTTGATGCTCCCTCTGAACTTAATACTTTTTGTGGCACAGTAGCCGCAGAAAAGGGAGAGGTAAAGTAGGTACCTGAGAAGCCATCTTTGAGATGGGTGTTAGGATCCTTGTGGTGGTGGTTGTGTGTCACTGAGTAGGTTCCAGCTCATAGTGATACTGAGGTTTCCGAGGCTGTAAATCTTTATGGGAACAGAGAGCCTCATCTTTCTCCCGCTAAACAGCTGGTAGTTTCGAATAGTTGACCATGAGATTAGCAGCCAGATTCGTAACCACTACGGTACCAGAGCTCCTTAGCATTAAGTACTTGTTGTTAAGTACCATAGAGTCTGTTCTGACTCATAGTGACCCTGTATAGGGGTTCCGAGGCTGTAAATCGTTACGGGAGTAGAACGCCGCAGCTTTCTCCCACAGAACCATTGGTAGTTTTGAACTGCTGACCCTGAGGTTGGCAGCCCGACTTGTAACCACTGCGCTACCAGAGCTCCTTAGCATTAAGTACTAGGTACTCTAATATCCATTCAGGAGCCGTGGTGCAGTGGTTAAAGCACATGGCTATTAACTAGAACCCACCAGCCAATCAGCTTCCATAAAGGTTTACAGCCTTGGAAACCCTCTTGGGCAGGTTGCTATGTGTTGGAATTGACTTGAAGGCAGTAGGTTAATGTCTGTTGATAGATGTTGCAAGTGTTAGCTGGTAGGTGGTTTTTAAAATTTTCCTGGCTTCTAAGAATTTTCTTTTAGTAAATGCAACAGCTATATCTAAAAGCTCAACTCAGATTAAGAGTCTTTAAATTTTCACTCTAAACCTAAAGATATTGTTTATTCATGATTAATTGAGGATATAGTTTTCTGTATGTGAATGTATACAAGAAATACTTTTTAGATTAGTTTTATAGAACTAGGAGATTTTAAGTATGTTTTTATAGTTTATTTTACTATTCACTTGCCTTTTAACTTTAAAGCAAAATTAACCAGCCCTTCATTTTGTCTCTTGAATATAGGGGATGGGGAAGTTTACGTTTGGGATGTGAATTCTAGGAAGTGCCTTAACAGATTTGCTGATGAAGGCAGTTTATATGGATTAAGCATTGCTACATCGAGGAATGGACAGTATGTGGCTTGTGGGTAAGTACAGAGAGGTGCTTGTACCCTAGCCTTAATTACATTCTGGTTATGTTGTTGTTAGGTGCCATCGGGTCAGTTCCCACCCTGTGTGTAGGGACTCTGTATACGGTTTCCAAGAAGGGGCTAGTGAGCTTGAACTGTCGGCTTTGTGGTTCAAAGCTACTTTGCAGTCCAGTGCATAACAACCCACAGCGCCACCCCAGGACTCTATTCTGGTTATTGTTGTTGTGAAGTGCTGTCGAGTCAATTCCGACCCTTAGTGACCCTGTGTAGGGTTTCCAAGGAGCAGCTGGTGAGCTTGAACCACTGATCTTGCAGTTCAGATGACTTTGCAGTCTGATGAATTAGCCCACAGCACCACACCAGGACTCCATAGGGAGGTGTTAAAGAATTGACTAGACTAGATGGTACATGAGTAGTTCTGTTAATGACTGTTTAGTAACATGGAATCAGTAAATCTAGACGAACCTTCTGCATTCTGTTGTCTGAACTGCAAGTAAGAGAAATGGTAGTTTACCCAATACTAGACTGTCTTTTACTGTTGTATTTTTCCTTGTATTTGAGATAGCCATTTGATCACATCAAGTTTTCCCATTGCTTTTTCCGCTTCTGTTGATGAGGAACCAGTATCAGTTAAACTTAGGGTGTAAATCTTAAAGATTCATAAAAGCAATTTTTTTCCTTCATCTAGGTAGGTGGTATCAGAAAAAGTCATGTTCCTTGGAATTAGTATTGTTGTTAATTGCCAGCGAGTTGGTTCTGACTTACTGTGATATGCTGTATAGATTTTTCCAGGAGCAGCCGTTGACCTTGAGGGTCCAAACTGACCTTGCTGTGTATCTAGCTCATTAGCCCGCAGCGCCACACCAGGACTCCTGTTAGGTTTGTAGAAACTTTTGTTGTTATGTGCCGTGGAGTTGGTTCCGACTCATAGCGACCTAGTACAGGGTTTCCGAGGCTGTAAATCTTTGTGGGAGCAGAGCCTCATCTTTTACCCGCGAAACAGCTGGTAGTTACGAACTGATGACCCTGAGGTTAGCAGCCCGATTCGTAATCACTATGCTACTAGAGCTTCTTTGTAGAAACTTTTAAAAGGATCTAAAACACATTACTATGTTGTACTTGAAAAAATAGTTATTACATACAGGGAAGAATGGCTTTATGTACTTGATTTGAAAGATGCAGGTTGGAGGGGAGTGAGGTAGGTAGTGGATATTTACCAGTAATTTTAAACTATCATTAACCCAGCTCCAGTAATTGAAGAACATCAGACAGTAGATTTTTACTTTTATTAGATGGAATGCAGCTGAATCAGCCAACATTTCCCAGGGGTGAGGGGTCAAGTGGATTTTGCTGTCTAGAGCATAGCATACTCTCTACTTTTTCTTCATTTCACTCTCTAAGGTTAAATTGGGAAATCCATTTGTAAGTATCCCTACTTCTTTGGTCCGCTCCTACTTTTAGGGTCTTGGAGGAACCAAACTGTGGAGCTTCAAGATGCAGAACTGCTTCATGTTGATCTGCTGTAGGTAACTTGGTGTTGGAGAAATGGTTAAGCATATGACTTAAAGGTCATCTGTTCAAATCCACCAGCCGTTACATGGAAGAAAGTTGTAGCCGTTGGCTTCTGTAAAGATTGTTATGAAGTGCCATCGAGTTGGTTCTGACTTACAGTGACCCTGCATAGCATTTCAGAGGAGCAGCTTGATGTGTTTGAACTGTTGACCTTGAGGTTGGCAGTTTATTGCTTACAGCCTTGGAAACCCTGTGGGACTACTCTGTCTATAGCGGTTCTGTGCATCAGAATCAACTCAATGGGTTTGGGTTTGGGCTTGGTTTCCTTCTGTATTCTGTGGTGGTGGTGATGTGCCGAGGAGTCGGTTCTGGCTCATAGTCGACCCTGTACAGGGTTTCCGAGGCTGTAAATCTTTACAGGAGCAGAAAGCCTCATCTTTTCTCCCGCGGAACAGCTGGTAGTTTCAAGCTGCTCACCTTAAGGTTCGCAGCCCGATTCTTAACCACTACGCTACCAGAGCTCCTTTGTATTCCATGGTGCTGGACTGCAAAGTCAGTTTGAACTGTAAGGTTGGTGGTTCAAACTCACCAGCCACTCCTCAGAATCCCTGTTCAAGGTCACTGTGGGTCAGAACTGACTTGATGGCACATAACAACAATAACACCCATGCCAAACCTATAGGAAGGACAGCTCAGCATGAGTGAAGCAGCGGTTTTTGATTGGCAAGTCTTCTGGGATGAAAGCTCCTTTAATATGAAGACTGGTGTTTAATTATAAGTGATTTTAAGCAGATCTGCTTTTGTCTGTGTGGGGTAAGAATTGCACAAGAATAACTTTCACTCAAATTTGTGAAACCATTTTCTGGTCTTTGCTCTTTTCTTGGTGTCATTTTTTACCAATTCTCTTTGAAAGACCCAAATAGGAAAGAATCTAGCATTAGTAGCTTAAAGTCTTGATATTACTGACCTTCAGTATAACTGAATTCTGATGTGCTTAGTCAAAGATCATCACTAGGATTTTATTGGTACTCTGTAAAAAAAAGGCTCTACCCCTATTAGAGTAACTCTCCTAAGGGTGAGAGTTATTGGTGGAGGAGCCAGGCAGAAAGTGGTAGGAGAGGCATAAACCTCTTAACATGGGTGTGAAATCTGTCTGTTTTGACCTTTGCTTCTAGGAATTAACTTCCTTGATCTCAAAACTCATCTGTTACTTAGTTTGAATTTCTTAACTCTTGTTATCCAGTGTCCTGACTCAAGGTAGCTGTTTTTATTTACAGTCTTGATTTGCTAGGGAAATGGGGAAACTAAAATATTGTAAATTGCAAGTTTTTTAGTTCACTATACCTTTTTCATGTTTTTGATTAATTACTGTTTATTATATATTGATTGATTGATTTGTTAAGATTTGAGTGGAAGTTTACAGAGCAGGTTGGTTTTCCATTCAATAACTCATACACATTTTGTTTGGCAATGGATTGCAATCCCTTTCCTTCCTGTGTTCACTGTTTTCATTTGTCCTTCTTTCCAATCCCTTCCTGTCACTGGTGCTGTATGCTGCCTTTTGTTCTCAGATGAGTGATGGCTCACCGGGACATTGGCTGTCTAATGTTTGAAAGCAGAGCCTGAGGGTGAACTCAATTCTGAGCTTGATGGGTGTCTAATAGCCATAGTCTATCAGACCAGCGCTGTGGGTTAATGCGTCAGACTGCAAAGTCGACGGTTCAAGCTCACCAGCTGCTCCTGGGAAACCCTATGCAGGGTGGCTATGGGTCAGAGCCAACTTGATGGCACTTAACAACAATATCAGACCAGTGATCCTGGTCTTTCATGATTCAGAGTTTTTTCCACTTTTCCCCCTACTCTATTCAGGACCTCCTACTGTGATCTGTCAGACCAGTGGGCAGTGATGACCGGGCACTATTCTAGTGTTTCTCGTCTCAGGGTCACAGAGGCTGGGGTTCGTGTGGTCCATTTGCCCTTTGGACTAATTATTTACATGGGTCTTTGGATTTTCTTCGCTTTTTGATCCTCCTTAAGGGAGAGATCATAGATGAATCCTTCCTTACAAGTTTTTAAGACCCAGTTGCAATTCACCAAAACAGGATGTAGAAGAGTGTGTTTGTAGACTGTTTTGTATCATTTGACCTTGATGTCACCTGAAACTATGGTCCTGAGCCCCCAGGCCCAGCAACTCATTTCCTCAAGATCTTTGGTTAGGACTAAGAAGTTTTAATGACGGGGTTGGAACATATCTGAGAAATCATTCTAGACTAACCTGATTTCATAGATGGAGCACTGATGTCCCCAAACATTCTGTAAGACACTGCTGAAATCTTGAACAAAGTAGGGTCTTGAATTCTATGGAATAGTCTTTCCAAGTGAAGTGCCCTTTAAGTTGTGCGTTTGCTGGATCTTCTGTAAATGCAGTAATGTGTTTGATTTTATGATTTCCTGTCTGGTTTAGGGAGTCCCTTGATGAATGTGCTTGGGTACTAACCAAAAGGTTGACAGTTTGAGGCAGCCCAGCAGCTTCCTGGAGTTAACACCCAGTGATGTGTATTTGAGGGGCTTCCAAAGTTTGTGGAAATTCCATTATCTTTTAACTCCATTTTTCCAGGAACTTTTTGAAGCCCCCTTGTACTTCCACTAAAAACCCTATGGAGTACAGCTCTCCTGAGACTTACATGGGTCCTCATGGATCAGACTTGAATCTCCAGCAGCATTTTTCTTTTAAATTTGGTCTAGACGTCAGCTAGTCAAAAGGACAAACACTTTTGAATGCTCAGTGTGAATAAAACAGTGCATACTGAAGAACAAGGGGAAACAGTTGCGACATGGATAACCCTCCCTGACATGGGACATTCCTTTAAGTACGTAGGCCTTTATCTCAGAAGGTAGCTCACCAGAATTAGTGACATCGTCAGTGAATAGGAGAATCCTGTCCACTCTGTTGCTATTACTTTATCCACTCTGCTGACAGTAAAGAAGTTAGGATCATCTTATGCTGCAGCTGCAGGACCAATCTCGCTAGCTGGGGCTCCTGGTTTTACTGGGAGTATGCAACTTAGAAACCACTTTTGAGGTCTTTGCATTTTGCAAACTAGGTCAAAGTGGCTACAACAATTAGCACAAACATAGGAATGATTGTGCAGCTGGTACAGGACTGGGCAGTGTTTTGTTCTGTTGTACATAGGGTTGCTATGAATCTGATCCAACTTGACACCAACAACAGGCCAAAATCATGGAAATACCAATTGTTATGTTTTCTGATTAGAGTCCTACCATTTGATTAAAGATTTGTTGACTTGATGAGCTGTGATTGCCATCTAAATTTTGTTGTCTTGATGAGCTGTAATTTCCATCTGAGTTCAAATTGTACTCTGAGTAATAATTACAATAAAAATTTTGATAATAGCAAAAAATGTCTTCTGCATTTACTATGTGCCAAACTTTGTTTTAAGTCGTTTTCATATAACTCAATTTAA